TTGTCATATTTTTATCAGATGTTCTATGAAAGGACTTTAAGTAGAGGCTTAGTTATGCTAGGTAGAAATTTTTCTATCGTAGAATTTTTTATAAACAAAATGCATTATTAATATAAATTCTTATATTTCTATTCTTCATTGCATCAACAGTAGCCTTTCTGAGTTTGATACTGAGGTAAATTTTGAAAGTTAATAGACAGTTTTACAATTATGTTTGCCAGGGGGTTAATATTTGTTCTCAAAATAATATTGCGTGGTAGTATGTATGATTTTTGAAAAACCATATACTAAGTGTGGATGCTGTACTATCTATAGTCCACTGACTTTTAATTTAAGTAATACCCATGCGTGTACAGTGTTTGTACACCATGTAGGGTGTGTAACCCCACAATTCCCATGTACACCATATCGGGTATAATACATATACTCAAATATAATTTGTTTGTATAATTGTCATGAAATTTTGTGATTTTTAGTTACATGCAATATTACATTTCCTGGTGTATATAGATCTACTTACGTTACGTCAAAATGATCAGCTAATGCTACTAAATTTTTAAAGAATTTTCAAAGCTGAATACCCATTACTATGGAAGGAAACTAAGGCCTTAATAGAGTAGCATAGTGTCCTTTACTGTTATTCAGTTGTATTGCTTGATGTGTTAGGAGTATCTAATTGTATACTAGAAATGGTAATGTGTATTGTGTTCTTATTATTAGTATAACTTACCTTAATAGAGTAGCATAGTGTCCATTACTGTTACACAGTTGTATTGCTTAATGTGGTAGTAATATCTAAAATGTTTGATGTTTTCATAGGCAATAGTAGCTGCAAAGGAGCATATTTATCTTGTAAGGCGGGAGAGAGATTACTTCAGGGAAGTGTTGAAGAGGACTAAAGATGCCATCAAAAAGCTGGACTTAGCCATCGAAAGGCCAGTGAACCACTTGGAGGTCGAAGTTCACTCTAGCTTTGACTATGCACAACAAGTAAATCAGTTATTATCCTTACACATCTTCATCCTAAAATTAATAAATGCAGGTGCATTACCCCAGTGATCCATTGCAGCCTGGTCCCATCTACTTCTTAACACCGAGGAAATGTGGCTTGTTTGTGAAGCATTCCCTACGCAGGTTACATACATGTACCTAGTGGATGAGGCGGGAACTATGCTACACTATTAAGGTAAGTTATACTAATAATAAGAACACAATACACATTACCATTTCTTGTATACAATTAGATACTGCTAACACATCAAGCAACACAACTGAATAACTGTAAAGGACACTATGCTACACTATTAAGGTAAGTTACACTAATAATAAGTACACAATGGGAGTGTGTCTAACCTGCCTATAATCTATGATACCACAGTGCGTAAGTTTTCATAGCATGGTTATTAGCGCCAAGTAGCCATTCTTGCGTCCTTATACTGATTCCAAGTCAGAAGGCTGCAAATAAGAAAGAGCCAACCATTAAAAGAACATATTCCCGTCTGCTCCTGCTTGTTTCTTGCACTACATGATCCTCAGAGTGGAGATATAAGTCTTAAAGTTGCCTGCATGCTTCAAGTGCCATTTTATCAGCCACAACCATAAATTTGAAAATTACTGAGATTAACTCTGTATACTTGCAAAAAACATTTAAACATACGCGCTGTGGTATCACAGAATATAGGTAGGTTAGACACTCTCCCTATATAATTAACCACTCTTGTTATTATTATTGTTGTTATTATTATTATGTGAGTGAGAAAGGAATATTATTATTATTATCATTATTATTATTATTATTATTATTATTATTATTTATTATTATTATTATTATTATTATTATTATTATCATTATTATTATTTATTATTATTATTTATTATTATTATTATTATTATTATTATTATTATTATTATCATTATTATTATTATTATTGTTGTTATTATTATGTGAGTGAAAAGAAATATTATTATCATTATCAATATTATTATTATTATTATTATTATTATTATTATTATTATGAGAGTTAGAAAGGATTATTATTATTATTATTGTTATTATCATTATTATTATTATTGTTGTTGTTATTATTATTATGTGAGGGAGAAAGGAATATTATTATTATTATCATTATTATTATTGTTATTATTATTTACTATTATTATTATTATTATCATCATTATTATTATGTGAGTGAGAAAGGAATATTATTATTATTATCATTATAATAATAATAATAATAATAATAATAATAATTATTATTATTATTATTATCATTATTATTATGAGAGTTAGAAAGGATTATTATTATTATTATTATTATTATTATTATTATTATTATTATTATTATTATTATTATTATTATGTTAATGTAATCACACAACACTAAGTTGGTATATGTACAATATCGGTCTATAACAAATAGACTATGTTATAAATCTCATGCTTAAATGTCTCCTTAAGATTCTTGCAGTCCCCAAAAATGCTGTTTTCTTTAAGTATTCGATCTTTAACTTCACATCTGCTCTCTTGATTCATTCACTAATCTTCATTGACACCGCTCCCAATGCTCCAACAACTATCAGTATCACTTCCACTTTCTTCAACTCCTGGTACTTCTCCACTTTTTCTTTCTCCTTGGTCTCAACTCTAGCATCACCCGGTACAGCAACATCTATAACAAAACAACTCTTCTCTGACTTCTCCACAACAACAATATCTGGCTTCCTATGCTCTACCATCCTATCACATTGTATCATAAAATCCCACAGTATCTTCACAACATCATTCTCCACCACTCCTTCAGGCTTATGCTCATACCAATCACTAGCTCTTTCCATCCGAAACTTTCCACACA